GAAATAACTGTCAACATTTAACCAGGGGAGATAATCAGTTATATATACAAATATCTCTCAATGGCTACCAATCGATGTGTTCATCTACCTAACAACCATAACTAGGGAGCGTTAGTAATGGTTATAAATAGATTTAACATCACCATAGATACTTCCATTAACTAATCAGAATCATCTATTCACATTTGATGATACTGAGTTAATTTGTAACACATTGAGATCATAATGTGAGCTATTATTTTACCGAGTATGATCAACACTGTGTTACTCAATGAGTTGATGCATGCAGTGAGTCTACAAATGTGTTATTGTAATTATATTGTATGTGTTAACTCTTTTTTAAGCATCAGGTAATGTGTTGCTCAGTGAGCTGGTACAATCATGAGCTAGAAAGTACTGTACACTTTATGAGACTCAGATACTGTGTTACACAGTGAACAGATTCAACGAGTCTACCGTTTGACATAGTGAGCTGATACAGCAAACAACAATGTACAAAGGCTGTTTTATTGGGCAATTATACTCCCTTGTTATGTGAGCTGTCATGTCTGTATTCTTTAATGATTTTGGTGCAGTGATACAAAATGATCTGACACAGTAAGATACATTGTATATTTTAAGCTGTTTACTTTGATTAACCTGATAAAAACAGGTTCAGTGAGCTTTAGAGGCTACTTCAGTGAGTCTGATAAAAACTGGTTCAGTGAGCTTTAGAGGCTACTTCAGTGAGTCTGATAAAAACTGGTTCAGTGAGCTTTAGAGGCTACTTCAGTGAGTCTGATAAAAACTGGTTCAGTGAGCTTTAGAGGCTACTTCAGTGAGTCTGATAAAAACTGGTTCAGTGAGCTTTAGAGGCTACTTCAGTGAGTCTGATAAAATCTGGTTCAGTGAGCTTTAAGGCTACTTCAGTGAGTCTGATAAAAACTGGTTCAGTGAGCTTTAGAGGCCACATTAGTGAACCTGATAAAAACTGGTTCAGTGAACTTTAGAGGCTACTTCAGTGAGTCTGATCAAATCTGGTTCAGTGAGCTTTAAGGCAACTCCAATGAGCCTGATAAGAACTAGTGTTCAGTAGTTTTCAGGCTACTTCAGTCAGCTTGGTAAAAACTAGTTCAATGAGCTTTAGAGGCTACTTCAGTGAGCCTGATAAATACTGGTACAATGAGCTTTAGTGGCCTAGCATGTGTATTTTTGTTACGCTTTTGTTTGAAATGTATGTTTATCTAGGAAAGATTTAGTATAACAGGAAATCCAATATGGATATCTCTGCTGCACTGGTTTGACCTATACCACAACTGTCTCCTTGCTGTTACCCCAGACAACCATGTGTCAAGGATAAAAACCTTTTCATTGTATGCCTACAGACAGTTCCCCTGGTATTACTCAACCCAAACTTTATAACATGAATATCCTATTATCTTGGTACTTAATCAATACATAAATCATATCCTTTGTTTTAAGAATGAATTACATTTGCAATTTAAAAAGTAATCTACCGATTATACAAGTAATTTGTAGCTTAAATAATTAAAAAATTCAATTTCTAATAACCTTCAACACAGTTTCATAAAATTTTTTGAAATGATTGAAACACAACCTACAGGATTTTTGAAAGAAATCAAATTTTTATAAGAAACCACATTAAGTATTAATTCGAATATCAACAAAATTGAAAGGTGGAACCTGTAAGCATCAATATTCAATCAGTCTTTTCTGATTCAATAATTTCACCGTTACTTTTCATGAAAATATTCATGACAACATTCTCAGTGATGTTTATTGAAAGTTCAAACAATCCTCATTTTATCTATTTTGACTTATTTATTCTTGGATACAGCTAAATAGAAAGTAATTATCATTGAAATCTTAGCAATTATTCTATGACATTTATCAGTAATGAATTTTAAAGTATGATTGAGATTTTAACTGAAGGTTGATAATAACTGACCAATAGTGTGAAGTTATTTCAGCTTTGGATTGAAATCATTTCCTTCCTTATAATGTATCAGACAAATCATATAACTGTGCTAAAATTTCAATTTCAGTTCAAGTGGTGTTTTGTTTCCTTCAATAGAAAGGAGGTTCCATGTGATAAGTAATAAAGGAATGGCTGAAGTGTGATAAATGTGCCAATGTAAACACTTACATGTATGTGTAAAGTATTGTAACATCATGATACATTTACAGCAGGTTTGTGAACAGAAATACTGTATCGCATTTCCTTGTACACCAGAGGTTTATAAACACATAAAAATCATTTATCACATCCTAAGTATTCCTGTAACCTAATTCAATTTTTCATGATTACTAATGGAAGTCCACTTTTCTAGTGTGTTATAGATTTGAAACTAACATCTTAAAAGACTGTAATTTAGGATGACAACAGCACAGATGGCAGGCACCACTCCTCTGCCTTACTTCTTATCCTCCCCCCACGCCTTCTCTCCTTTAAACTCGAGCTACCCCCTACCTTCTCTTTTCTCCCACCCGATCTTCTTTCTTCTTTGACCTTCATTCCCTATTTTCTTTGTCCTGACTCCTAACCCCCCATCTCCTCTCCCCTGATCCTCACTTCCCACCCCCTCTTCTCTGACCCCTACTAAGTACCACTAATCCTCTATCCCTTCATCCCCTATTTTCTTTGTCCTGACTCCTAACCCCCCATCTCCTCTCCCCTGATCCTCACTTCCCACCCCCTCTTCTCTGACCCCTGCTAAGTACCACTAATCCTCTATCCCTTCATCCCCTATTTTCTTTGTCCTGACTCCTAACCCCCCATCTCCTCTCCCCTGATCCTCACTTCCCACCCCCTCTTCTCTGACCCCTACTAAGTACCACTAATCCTCTATCCCTTCATCCCCTATTTTCTTTGTCCTGACTCCTAACCCCCCATCTCCTCTCCCCTGATCCTCACTTCCCACCCCCTCTTCTCTGACCCCTACTAAGTACCACTAATCCTCTATCCCTTCATCCCCTATTTTCTTTGTCCTGACTCCTAACCCCCCATCTCCTCTCCCCTGATCTTCACTTCCCACCCCCTCTTCTCTGACCCCTACTAAGTACCACTAATCCTCTATCCCTTCATCCCCTATTTTCTTTGTCCTGACTCCTAACCCCCCATCTCCTCTCCCCTGATCCTCACTTCCCACCCCCTCTTCTCTGACCCCTACTAAGTACCACTAATCCTCTATCCCTTCATCCCCTATTTTCTTTGTCCTGACTCCTAAGCCCCCATCTCCTCTCCCCTGATCCTCACTTCCCACCCCCTCTTCTCTGACCCCTACTAAGTACCACTAATCCTCTATCCCTTCATCCCCTATTTTCTTTGTCCTGACTCCTAACCCCCCATCTCCTCTCCCCTGATCCTCACTTCCCACCCCCTCTTCTCTGACCCCTACTAAGTACCACTAATCCTCTATCCCTTCATCCCCTATTTTCTTTGTCCTGACTCCTAACCCCCCATCTCCTCTCCCCTGATCCTCACTTCCCACCCCCTCTTCTCTGACCCCTACTAAGTACCACTAATCCTCTATCCCTTCATCCCCTATTTTCTTTGTCCTGACTCCTAAGCCCCCATCTCCTCTCCCCTGATCCTCACTTCCCACCCCCTCTTCTCTGACCCCTACTAAGTACCACTAATCCTCTATCCCTTCATCCCCTATTTTCTTTGTCCTGACTCCTAAGCCCCCATCTCCTCTCCCCTGATCCTCACTTCCCACCCCCTCTTCTCTGACCCCTACTAAGTACCACTAATCCTCTATCCCTTCATCCCCTATTTTCTTTGTCCTGACTCCTAAGCCCCCATCTCCTCTCCCCTGATCCTCACTTCCCACCCCCTCTTCTCTGACCCCTACTAAGTACCACTAATCCTCTATCCCTGCTACTAACAAAAGTTTCCCTGACTTTCCTCTCCCACTGTCTTTGTTCTGTCCTCTACTTCCAATGTCCTCTTCCCTGGCCCCACTCTGTACCACTTCTGTTCTGACACCCTCACCTCAATATATCATCTCTGGCCTCCCTCTCCCCTTTAATTTATTTCCTCTGATCTTTATTTCCCACATCCTTTTCTCTATTCCAATATCCTGGTAACTCACACCACCAACCTCAATCCAATTTCTTACTAAACCCCTACACATTATTTCAGATGTGCATTCTCCTAGATTCATTCAATACACAAAGTTAAACTAGTTTTCTTAAATAGAAAAAGTAAAAAGGTGAAGAGATTCTGTTTACAGTATTCCATAGTGTTAACATCTGGATGCATTGCATCATTGGTTGAAAAAAGAAAATATCTGTTGTGTATGACATTAGAGCTTCCAGTAAATTAATTCCCAATAGTAAAAGAACCCAAACATTAGACTATAACCATGTAAAGATCCAAAACAGTCCCAAATAAGTTACTGATATAATTAGTGAAGTGTTGATCCAGGTACAGAAAACAGCAAAGGACAGAAAATTATATCCTTTGACAATTCATACACGTATCAAATAAATAATTGTAAAGCACAATTGGCAGATGTGGTATTAATGTATACAAAATACAATTATAATATAAAGATTTTAAATAGTTTTTCAAAGCTAAAATTTTCTAACATTATTTTATTAATTGAAAAGAAAAAAATAGAATAACAAAGTAATAAGTAAAGAGTTATTTATCTCTTTTTTTGTGTGTATAAAAATAGCTATGTTACTCAAATGTATAAATTATTGTACAAAAGGAACTATGTCAAATTAGTACCGACTTTTGATAATAACAAATGAAAGCTAATGATGTAGCCTAGGGTTACAATAATTTGAAGGGAAAGCTACAGTACTAAGTACGCACCATGCACCTCTAGCCTACAGTTCTCTGTACTGAAAATGCTTGTAGTCTAGAATACATAAATGACAACCCTTGACCAAACATGCTTGACCTTGACCCTGCAATCAAGGGTCAAAATCAAAAGGATGATGAAAATATTGAAATAGAATTATTGGTGAATGTAAAACTAGTGTTTTACCATTGAATCTGTCAACCTCTTCTTTTGGCAAGTGTCGCACTGCAAGTTTGGAGGGAAATCAAATTAATCAAAGAATAAAACAAACACTTTTATTTACATAATAAAAGGTATTGTTATACACCAAAAACTCAAAATAAAGCCCCGCCTATTTCCCAACTCCTATAGGCCTAACACATGTTGAATAAATGATGTTAAAAGATATTTCATACCGTTATAGAGAAGGAAATGAAAGAATAAAAATCTAAATAAAAAATAAGTCTATTACATGACAAGATTTCCATTACCAATTTTGACACAATTAGATACACGTACATGGAAACTGCAAGGATTTTTAAAATAATCACCTTGATTTGTCACAATGAATTATTTGTCATGGTTTACAAATATATATAAATTCGAATTTGGATTTAAAATACAGCCATGGTCATGATATCTCAGTATGCGTTCATGTTTTAATCTGTAACAACATGCATGTATTTTTTATATTCATTGCTGGTACTTAACACTATGGTAATTCTGTCATTACTGACTTATTTATAACTGGGAACAAAAGAATGTTTCTTTATCAACATAACACTAATTCTTCAAAGTTGTCAAAATATACATATCTTTAATAGAATATCTGGTATACATATCAAACCCTGTCTATTAAAAACTTTTAGGAATTCAGCACTGTACATTACAGTATTCTATACAAGCTGTATCAACTTACTATAACTAGACTTGTTACCTCCCATGGACTAGATTGGATCCTATTTACTAACAATACAAAACAGAGGAAAGACAAATTTATACCTATGATATTCTTGTTCAAAGTATGTAGATTTTACTTTTTTACCATCAAACAAATCTTAGAGAGTTAAAGTTACCAGTGATAAAGAGCATTGTGACAATGTCTAGGTTATGATATGTCATGAGATCAACACTGAAGCTTGAGAGGCCTATTGTGTATTTACTCAATGACAGCTTAGCAAGGGGGAATAACTCTGAAGAAACCATGAGATTATATGACAGTTAATCACATCGGTGTACAATTCTTAGTAGGATTGTCATTTACATGTAGCAAGGAGTCACAAATTGCAACAAACATTTTAGCTCAAATATAATTAGTTCCATAAGCTTATTGTCAGCACTTAGAGTCAGAATATTTTAATATTGTACTGATAAGTTGACTTCTGTTTGAATAAACGTAAAATGTTCTCAGAACAACAGAAAATAAAATGTACATTTATTTCAGGACACCATGGATTATTATCTCAGATATTATCATATAAGCAAACTAGAAAATGTCTGAATGAATGAAGTTGCATGGATCATTTAAAATGAATCAGATGATGACTTTCTATAGGTAGCAAGGGTGACCTTGGCATTGACCTTAGACTCTTGAAACAAAAAGTCAAAAGTATACTCATAATTGACTTTTGTATAAAGTTTGGCCAAAATCTGCCAAAGAATGAAATTAATAGGTGTCAACATCGAATTAAGAAGCAATGCGACATGACAGACAAGGGCAATACTAGGCTGGGCCATAATAAGTTACAAACCTTCAAGGGACTTAAATAATCATATAGTGGTGTTATACACTTATGAATTTTACAAAGCAGTTGAATCAATGTTTCTTCTATATTACCAAAATAAAATATTGGGAGTAAATCATTATATTATAAATAAGTAAATCATTAAATAAATAAACAAATATCACACAAATTTCAGTACTGTTGTCTGGAGAAATTGTATTGCAGCTGTGATCCTAAAAGAATTTTAATCAGTAAGTAATTATATGAATCAACAGTCAACACAAATGTATAATCATCACTGGCTTGCTTACTGTTTGAACTACTATGAGTGTATCTTGAATCCTCCATAGTCGTGTGGCCTTAATATTATGCTGTTGCCAATGGATATCAGCTCAGTTATTGATATATACACAGATTTTAACTGTCAGCTATCGGTGTTTACCATAATAACAAAATATGATTGAGTTTATTTGTAGAATTCCAAAGACAGGAAGTTTTCTTTACAATGATCTGTGGAGTGTGCGGGAGTCTGGATTTGTGGTATATCAGAGCCTTTATTGATTTGTACCATTTTCTATTACCGTAAGCCCTTCTCCTTCTATTTATTGTCAAGATTTATGTTTAGAATTCTTTTTATATTCAAGGTTACCAAAATATGAGACTAGCTGAAACATACATTTGCTTTTTTTTCCCATACCCTTGTAAACAAAATATACAATGTATATCTAAAATTTCTGATGAGAGTGTTCTGTTAACAGTTGTTTTGTTTGTCTTTTTAGACATTTGCATAGTCCAGAAATGTCAAACAATGATATATCTAAGCTCATTGAGATATCCAGGACAATTAGAAGAACAATTCTGGCATTTCAAATAGATGAAAATTGATTTTTCTTTTTCTAGAGGCAAGTAAACTCTGTTGTGTTTGATTAACATACCCTTCTTGATAATCTGGCATGCTGGTATTCATAAAATTCATATTTGATTAATGCAGATATTGATCAACATAAACGATAGTGGTACATCTATCAATACCCATCATGACAGTAAATCAATCAGTGGTAGAGGACCACATTGGTTAAGCTCATGGAGAGACAATTGTTACTGAGGATGTCAAGGTGAAAAATATCATTTTACTTAAGAATACATGCTGCTTCCATTCTAATGATAGTTAATCCTTGTTTTCTGTTAAATGAAAATTAGTAATGTATGGTAGAACAGTACACAATGACAATAGTCATCCTCAGGTAATTATTGTCAAATACCTTTCACTACACATTTTTATATCAGAAACGTAAGGGGAGAAAACTCAAATACAAAACCTAATACTGTAATAGCCATTTTCTTACAATTTCACAAATGGGCTTAACTTCATATTGGCATTAGTTCACGTGAAATCCTTTAATCCTTTGCAATTTCAATCTTTTTTTTTTGTTTTCCTCGATAACAAATTAAATTCATGTTTGATTCGGATTCTTTTCAACTAGTCAGTCATGAGGTAATTTAGACAGAATACCAGACTTAGTGAAAATGAGATAAATCAATTAACTAAATAGATTTATTTTTCTAAATGTCTGAAGACTGTTTTTAACCATCAACATCTAATTTTTAAAACCTTGTAATTAATTCCAGGTAGTTCAATTAGTATCAAAATGAAGGAAAAACTTTAAAGCTAAAGTCAAATAGAATGTCGATAAAACCAGATCACTTTAATCAGTACCATTACACAGTTACTGAATCGTGCTTTCTTCATACATTATAAAACCACTTAGTAATTGCACACACGCAATACCATAAACAACTCTATAACACTTACTAAAATGGCACATCATTTCATTTAGTTCAAGTTAAATTACATACTACTTATCTTCATACTGTGAATGTTATATCCATTTCAAGCATTTAAAATTGTGATTAATCAAATATATTACAGTCATCAGACATGATTCTACATTTTAAATATCTGACCATATTGATTGAGAGAATAAGTTTAAAATCAAAACTTAAAACTCAGTAATTTATGAAACCTATTCTGTCAACACAGTTTTCAGAGAACAACTGATTCAGTAATTTCTTATATTTACATAGTGTAATTACAGAAGATAATGTGTACATGTGAGTACATCAAAAGGCATGATCTTATTATAGATCATGAAAACGTTTCTGTCGGCTAAAAGCTAAGACTGCCATAATTATTGCTTTCTGAGAGAAATGACATAAATTTCACGAAGTCTCTCTGCTACAAAATCTCCTCTTATAGATATTGTTTCCTTTGTATTTATAGTGCTGTCAGAAAAGATAGAGCTATGCTACATATGTATTGAACACAAATAAATTAACAGTAAACTGAAAAAAAATAGATGGTATTTACACACAGTAACATTGATACAATGTTGACATAATTAAGTACATTCTACAAGTTACGTGTCTCTTGGGATTTGTTTTACGATTAGTCACCTGAACTGTAGACAGTTCATGTCTATTTATATATGTAGGTCAGTTTTCCATTTAATTCTCAATTGTCGCGGCACCCCTTAGAAACAGGTATTTGTCTTTCAAATAAACATAGATATGCTAACAGTATTTCAGTTATTTTGGTGACGTTTAAACTCAACTCCTCATTTTCTAATTTAAATTCAAAAGCATGCCCAGGAGTCAAGGTTTGTGTAAACACTACACCGGTACAGATCCATTAGATCAGGCTAGCTCAGTTCATTTTTAACTGTCTGGAATTCTACTCTTAATTCTTCTTGACAGAGAAATATTTGCTTTACCAATTGTCCGTTTTTTCATAGCACTTTTTTCATCCTTCAGCTTTAAGGCTTCATTAAGTTCAGGTGAAACTAACAGTGGGGAAACAAAAGAATTAACAAACGTTCTTTTTCCCCTCTAAAGAACATTACCATTTCTAATGATATTTTGTTTATGTTATAAATAACATTCAACAAAAGATTCATCAACATATTGATTTCTTTTTTCTTACAATAAAACAAAAGTTAGATACAGTGCATGGAAGTTTTACATTACAAAAAAGTACAGGTGTAAATAGTCACATGAACAGGTGCTTCAAGCAGTCACTTTAGAAAAAAATTCATCATTTTGAGACTAAACACAGCAAAGGAGGTTGATATGAACACTATGGAGGGTACATTTTATACAACGTAAATTGACATTACAATATGAATTCACTATAGAATTGGTACATAGTTGTAAACTGCCACAGGATGAGGGATATATGAAAACCATAGTGGGCACACATTTGTACACAGTAAATAATATGACACAAGGGGAAAGGATATGAGGACTATAGAGGGCACACATTTGTACACATTAAGTAATATGACACAAGGTGGGGGTGGGGGGGGTGGTGGGTATGAGAAACATAGTGGGCACACACTTGTACACAGTAAATAATATAACACAAGAGGGAAGGGTATGAGGACTATAGAGGGAACACATTTGTACACAGTAAATGATATAACACAAGGACTATAGAGGGCACACATTTGTACACAGTAAATAATA